GAGAGAGAGAGGCCTGGTCTCAGTGGATGTCTCTGCCCCCACCCCCAAAGCCTGAGTTCAGGATGCGGAGATCTGGCTCCCTCAACGCCTTTTCTTCGCAACGGCCCTCCTTCGCAACGGCTCCGCGGGGAAGACCTTGCTGTTTTATTCAGGGGGTTTCCTCTCCCGCCGGGCAAGAGGAACAGGGTCTGGGGGGGGGGTGTTGAAATCCCTGGGAGCAAAGCGGGAGAACCGGCCCATTTGGGGAGAACTGCCCCGCCCTGCCACCACCCCAGCAGCCGGAGACCCCCACAGGCAGCCCTCGAGGTTATTCAGGGCTTGGGTTCCTTCCGCCGCTGGCGCCCGGGAAGAGGCGGAGAGGGCCGCCCCGCGGGCTGGGCGCCTTCCGTCCGAAGACGGCCGCTCCGGCGCTCGTGGAAATGCAACTGCGGCCCTGCAAGACAGCCCTGCAGAAAGCCTGCGGTCTTGAGAAGGGACGGGCCCCGTAAGCGGCGGCTCGTTGCGAGAGAGGGGCTCGCTCGCTCTCCTGGGAGCGGAGTTTGGGAAGGTGCCCCTTGGCTCTGCAGAGAGCGGGACGCCTTTCCTTGCAGCTTAACAGGAGCCCGAGGCTGCGGCCGGGGCCAGGCTTTTTTGCGTCCTTTTTTGCGTCCTAGGCAAGTCTTAACTACTGTACTTGCGCCCTTCTCAGTTCAGCTCTGCACCCCTCAAGTCAGTTCTGCGACTCTCTGGGGTCAGTTTTGCGCCCCTCTCAGGTCTGCGCTCTAGGCGGTCGCTGCGCCCAGCTTTGCTCGGAGCGCCCTTCGCTCCTTTTTTGTGCTTTCATGGCAGCCGGCTGGCCCAGTGCCGTGGGTCCACCGTGTTGCTTTTGCATGAGGAACAGCTGCGCAATTGCTACCTGCGGTTACCTGGCTCCTAAGGATCGTGACCCTGTGAATTCATTCCTGTTATTAACAGCCGTGCCTGAAAGTCCTTGGCAGTCTTCATTGCACCATGCCATCCCATATTTGCTCTGCCAACTACCTTCAGTGTACCAGTAGCTTAGCTGGCTGGATAGCTCAATGGTTTAGGTATCTGGCTGCAGTGGGAGATGTTGGGGAACTGAACTCCCCACTGTGCCTTCTGGGAGAACAGGCAGCCTGTGAGGACTTGGCCAAGCGGCAGAGTCGCAGGGCTCCCCTCAGAAGAAGGAAATGGTAGATCACTTCCAAGCACTCTATACTTAGAAAACCATGAGAAAAAGGTTGCCACGTCAGAATGGCACACAAATATTAACAACTTTAAAAAGGGATTAAATACATTCATGGAAATTGGATTAAACTGTGGGGTATCACCACATTCTCAGACAGGGATTACATTAGTGCATATTATCAGAAGTAGTACGTTTTTTGGCTTGCTTGTTTTTACTGCCTGTCATTTTCACTAGCTAAAGGCACATTTTAGCATTATTAAAGGGAATGTTTTTCCTCCTAGTTTTGTTGGACTATTTAAAATGCAGCACAACCCTCTCAGAGACTTTAAGGCCCTTGAAGTCTTTTGGGGGTGGACTCAACCAGCCGGCAGGTAATGAGCCTTGTCTCTTTGCAGGGCTTTTTCATCTGCTTATTTTATGAACAACATAAATACGTCAAATTCTGTTCAATATTATAAAAAGGAGTATCACAATCATACATATGAACTGAACATGCCAACTGAAGCAAGAAACAGTATGCCTGCCTTTGAGGAAATGATGTAACAAACTAAAGAATAAAATCAAGTGAAGAAAAATGAAACAAAGGAAAACAGATATCCTTTAATACAGCAGTCCCCAACCTTTTTCGGACCGCAGATCGGTTGGGGGGGGGTGTTCTGTGGGGGGGGCAGGTGCTCCACTGTGCGGGCATGACACACCCACTGTGCAGGCAGGCAGAGATCCATCTCCGCAGCCCAGTTCCAGCAAGCCCAAGGACCGCCACCAGGCTGCGGACCAGGGTTTGGGGACCCCTGCTTTAATAGAAATGCAGGTATGCCTCAGAGTTTTCTAATGCATCATTTTCTATACCGGTTGTCTTACACTGAAAAGGTAGGAAACCAGTGTATCAATCTGAGGTGTTCTTGCTTCATTGGAGAGTTCCCTTTTATGGTCCCAGGCAATGATGGAAGCAGGGTTGTATGCAACAAACGTTTATTTAACGGCAAAGTAGTAGCATGAACAACAACTTAAGTAAGCCCAACAAGGCGAAAAGAATAGGGTCATCTAGGCCAAATGTCCCTCAGTTCAGGGGTAAACATGAATTTAGCAGTGAGGGCTCACATCAAATCTCTCCTGGTTTGTCAGCTTTTGCAGAGGTCTCCTCAACCTGGCACAGAGTCCCACAGCAGGGGTGACACACAATTCCCCTTTGAACTGCACCCCTGGATTAGGTCTCTGTTCCCGGCATTCCTTGCTCTTCTAATACTGAGTAGGTATGGAATAAGAAAAAGTAACTGAATATATAGCAACGTATAGTAACGTAGCACACATAGAGGATTAAGATTCCTCATGCCAGATCTAGCAAGCTTTAGCTGACCTCGACTCCCAGAAATACGATAAGGCCTATGTGACCTCCAAACACATTGGGATATTACAGGGGAGGTGTGAAGAGGCCCATTTACAACAGGTCCTCCGGGAGAGCAACACCAGCATATAGATAAGGAATACACATCTGGGGTGCCAGGATGTCTGGAAATTAGAAGGACAAAGGGGGGGGGCTCCATCTCTCCTCATTCCCTGTCAAGAACTAATAGGTCACCATATCGCAGCCTCAGCATCAATTAGGGCAAGGATCCAAACATGTTGCAGATTAGGCCCAGTCACAGTTTTGGGGTTTATGACTGTTTGTAAACAGTATGTGTATCTGACCAATGTATGTTCAGGGCCTTCTCACTCTTTTTGAGAGGAGCCCCAGCTGTCTGTCTTGACATATTTCACTTTTTCTCAATAAAATGTGTTGTATTACGATTATCCTCAAAATCGAGGCTAACATTTCCAGGGACCCCCTTTCTTGAGGTACACGTATACTATCCATTCTGGTCCCTCTAGCTGTACCAATATTCTTTTTTCTGCTTCCTTTACTGTTTCCTTTCTCTCCCCCCCTTGCTACATTTAGCATGGGGAATCTTATTTTTCTTAATAGAAAAGATAAAGAAATGAAGATATTGAAACATATTCCATGGCAAATAAGACAGATAAGAAGACAATATGTGGAGCTGCTCCATTTTGGGAACAAACTCAACTAGGTGCCTGAGGGTGTTCTCTCTGAATTCCAAGAACAGAGTTATTATATTAACAATGAAGACAGAAACCTTTATGAAAACAAAGGAGAAATGGCTGAGTAGAAAAGGAGGGAAAAAACAGATGAGAAACTTGGAGGAGAAATCAAGTGGCTTATTAGGATATGAAGCAGAAAGAAACTCGACTAGAGCAGAAGAGCAAGTGAGAGCATTCAAAGGAAAGCACACTATAGAAACAAGAGGATCTAGGAGGAGGAAAGAAAACCTGAACAATAAAAATGGACTAAATGATTACAACATGAAAGTGAAAAATGAAGTGGCTAAAGACAGTATATAAAATGGTACAAAATGGTAGATATTGTGACGATTGCCCCACATCACTCATGCAATTCGTAGTCATGAGCTGATTTGCATGAGCCTATGAGAGGGCTGGAGAGGCAGAGTCAGCAGCTATATGAAGGTTTGGCAGGTGAAGGGGGAGTCAGATAGAGATAGGGATGAGATCCAGATAGAGATATGGACTGGTTAGTCAGAGGGAACAGATATTGAGTGATAAGGCTGGTTAAGAAAATAGGCAGAGAAGGTGGTAATGATATTGCAAGAGAAAAGTATATACTGAGAGAACTGTTAATGATTTGCTTGTGTACAATGTTTATCTGAAGAAATTATGTTATTAAATCTGCTTCAATTCAATAAATAAGTTCAGTTTGTATTCACAAGTTTTCTGACAAACATTTATATTGTGGATTGAGGTAATTCACTGGTGGCAGCGAGAGGAAAACACGATGTGGGCCTTTGTGAGGGCAAAATACGCAAGTGCCACAAGGGTGAACGCCACAGATATTAATGTCCAAAAATCAGTAACTATTCAATAAAATATAGATAAGATGTTTTATAGATGATATATGAGTTACTGATGATACACAATGCCAACTTTTTTTAAAGAAAAGAAAGGCTTAAAAATATGTTTAAATAATATGGGAAATGTAAAAATACTTTCATTATGCTTGATGGATATATAGGAAAATACTATAGGTGTATGAAAGTGTGAAAAATATTCTTTTCCACATGACATTTAAACTGGATCTGTTTTTTTATTGAATAGTTGACCTGAGATGTTACAGAAATAAATTTTTTAATAAGGTATATTTTTCCATGTATAAGACACTACTTTTTCCTAAAATCATTACACAAAAAATTAAGAGGTGTCTTTTACATTGAAGTAAGCTGAGATAGCAAAACGGCTGTATCTTGCCTCTATAAACAGGCTTCCTCCAATCACGAGCCTTATGGAAGTGATGTCAGCTAATGCTGAACAAACCAATTGGAACACACCTCGTTGGAGGTGGAGCCTGTAGGATCAGATTCAACAGGGACTCCTAACTAATGTCTAACGTTCTGAGCACGGAGGCTGAATACTCAAAGCTAAGTTTTCTTAATTTGGGGGTTAGAAAAGTGTGTGTAGGGGTCCTTATAAACCAGGGTGTGTGTGTTATAAATGGAAAAATACAGTAATTTCTACAGTTATTAGATGGGAAATGATAGAAGAAAACATATCCTAGAGTCAGAAGAGCTGAAAGGGAAGTCACAGAGCTGGAGGAAACAATAATTCCATAATTAGACTGAAAAGATAGCTAGGAAAGCATAGATTAAAGAAGAATGTGAAGGTCCAATTAAGGAATAGACTAGTAACTATAGTAACACTGAGAAAATCTGCTGGTTTCTTTTAATCTTTCTTTGTAGTACAGTATAAATGAACAAGTTGATGTAAATGTACTATCTCACTCTGGAATGTTTTCCTTTCTCTATCCATACCTACCCCCCAACCCTAAATTCCTTTCCCCATAACCCTATCGCTATTGAAAAGAATAAAAAAAAAATAAGGAATCTTATTTCTTTGTGTGCCACATTACTATATGTTGCTATATATTTAATTACTTTTTCATATTCAATACCTACTTGCTTAGGAGAAGGTTTGCTCTTTTGTCTCCATTCAGTTTCCTCTGTTTCATTCAGACCATCTCTCAGGTCCACAGATCCTCTATTTCTATCCATCCCCATCCATGAGGTAATCCTTCCTTTGTTATCCCTCTTTCATCTTCTTTCTCCTTTCTCAACTCATCTGCTCCATGTTCTGCCTTCTCTCCCCACTCTCTCCCCTCTTATCTCCTCCTCAATCACTACTTCCTTCTCTTTTCTTCCTGCTATCAGGAATCCTTCCGCTATTGGTAGATCCTCTGCTATTTCCCATGTCTGTCTTATTCTACTTTATTTTCTCCACCCCTTCCAGTTTGTAATCGCAACTTTGAAAACAGCAGATAAAATAGTATAAACACTCTCATATCCCTCCATTGCAGACAATAGAGAGGACTGCTCACTACCAGTCACTACAGCCTTTGGCTTTTCTTACAATCAGCCACAAATCTCAGATCTCATATTCCCTCCAAACATGTTAAAATCTGTTTGTGCTGCTTCGGACCATATATCTGCAAATGTAGACTGGCTGTTGCAAAAAGCTAACCCACTGAAAGTTTTTGGCATCCACTACTACCCATGACTACGTCCTTTTCATGCTTGGGTTGGGATTCAAACACTACAATTTGTGATGCACATCATTTGTTAACTAGCATTAATCTTTGTCCTAGAGATGTTTCTACTAGTGCTGAGGAGAGGCTGTGTGAAGTATGAACTCACATTTCACTGCACTGAGTTTTATCATAGCATGATATGCAGTTCGTATAAAAGTAGATAACGCTTGAAATCCTGTTATGCATTGCGCAAGTTTTACTAATGATTGCTGTAAATTTTAAAAATCTGTATCATTATTTGTTACTTGCTGACTCAGTACACAACATATTCTCTGGAGATTTCTTAATGTATGACGTTTCATAGCTAAAAATGCCTTTTGCAATGCTCTCTAAGTGGGGCTTCCCTTGAGACTGACCCAGAGACTACAGCAGGTCCAGAATGTGGTGGACAGACTGGTGGCTGGTGTTATCAAATTTGATCAATCTTCCCAGTGCAGGCCATCCTCCATTGGCTACCCATGGTGTCCCAGATCAGGTTCAAGGTTCTGACAGACATATATAAAGCCCTTCATGCTTTGGGACCACATTATCCGCTGGAGCTTCTTTTCCCAATGTCAGGCCAGGCCCCTGTGCGTATCCACCCTGAGAGAGGCCCAACAGTTATCTACTACAGATAGGGCCTTCTTGGTGGTGGCACCTATGTTATGGAATCAAGTCCCAGAGGAGGAATGCCTGGTCCCTTCCCTGTACTCATTCAGGAGGCAATTAAAAACACTATTTTTCAGGGAGGCCTTTCACTGGTTGGATGCCTCACCTCCAGTCTTGCGTCACTCCAAAAAAATTGTTAGCCTTTTTATTTAAGTTTTTAGACCATGTTTTTGCTATTTATGATGTATTTAGTTCTGTATAGTTTGTTTTCACTGTCCGTAAACCACCCAGAATAGTGCTTTAGCACTAATGGGCAGTCTATAAATTGAAATAATAAATAATAGTGAACCACCAGTGCAATTTGGTCAGATTTGTAGTTTGATGTTTAAAAGTGTTATTGGGGGTGGTGGTAATTTTTAAACCAAGTTATTTCTGAATGAGCTGATGGGGAATGTCATTCGGGTCAACAGTGAAGGAACCCTGTAAATCCCACTTATTTTAGTAGGGAATTAATACTGCTCGTTCAATGCATTGAATTAGTGTGAAATTTTGACTGTATGACTCAGCCCTCCAATTCCTTGCCTTCACCAGAGTTTTGGATGCTGTATTGGGTTAGAATTAAGAAGAGGTAAGCATTGCACATATCCCATTACTGACTAGTTAAGAATATCCACAATTTCTTGAAAGCAATATTCACAATATCATAATTTTCTGATGATTGACTGTTAATACCAGGATTAGCTAAAATATATTTAATGTACCCATTCCAGTAGTGATGAGGAGGATTGTTGAAGCCCATTAAAAGAATAAGCTATTGCGTAAGTAAAGGAAAAAAGGTTTATGAACAAGGCTTATGTTTACTTTCTTTATTAGCTAATCAACATCAACATGCAAAAATAAATGCTAAATACAAACTTCTACCATATGGTTTTCTTTCAACTACAATGGGTTTTGTTTGGAGAGTGGTAAGGAGGTGATTTGTATCTGTTAAAATTGAACTAATCTCTTCTGTAATGAATACCCTAAAGTTACATAATTATCCTGCAAGGCATCTTCAAAACTTGCCCAACACTTAAGGTTATCAGATGATTTTCATGTGAATACATTCTCAAAGCAAGAAATAAGGCAGTAGCACTAATGGTCTGATACTGAATCCTATGCCCATAGTAACTAATAAATGAATGATGTTACCACTACGGTCAACTGGAAGGACAGGCACCAAAGCAGTGCATTATGCCTGTAACATTATCTGTTCTCTGTATTTATGCACTCTTCCTCATGATGGAGGGGAGAATAAAACCTTATATTTCTATTCAAAGGAATTTCTGATACCTCCAATGAAGTTAGTCTTGTTACTGTTGCCAGACATCCCTTCCACAGAACTACAATAGCCCATGGGATCATTTAAAAGGCAGAGTGTAACAGAATACCAAACAAAAGGGTCTTCAGTTGCTAACATAAGAGGCAGGAAGCACGCTGAGGCCCACATCACACTTTTATATAACATGTTTCCAGTTTGTGTGTGGCAGCCACATCCAAAGGGAAGATGCACATGCACTCAGACTCACACATATCTCAGCCATACACCTGAGGCCACAGTAGACATACATTCAGAAGCTGTGATTAGCTCCAGCTTCCTAGTGTATTACAGATTTGCATATTTGGCCCCTTCAAATACCACTCTGTTTCACAAATGGGTACACATTAGTGTTACTGAAAACAGGTCTGGAAATGTGAAGTGGCCCTTTGAAATTCACTGTAACATTTTTATCCCTCAAGTGAACAGTCCATTTGAGTAAACTTCTTTTTCTGGATGAATATTTGAGATACCAATTACTGTCCAAACATTCAAAACTTGTTCCCTCCAAGTACAAACTTTTAGTCACACTTCCTCAATTTCTAAGAGTGTATATTGTTGTTCAATGATCTTTGGTCGCAAGAAAAAATGCCACCAATAAATCTGAATCCCTCCCTCCCCAAAACACAGCTCTCTTTGCTCAAGATCTCTTTCTACATGTCATGGCAGAATATCTTGTAACAAATTCCAGCAGCACTTCATTATGTGTATAAGGGATTTACATAATGTAAACCTTCTCTGCTTGTGAGAAGTTGAAGACTTCTTTGGTTCTTGGGCAAACTACTTTGTCATCCTGACGAACAGAAAGCAAAGACTGGAATAAAAAAACAGAAAACAGATTAAGACAATCCTCATCTGAAATAAAGCATATATTAATTAGTGATAGTCATAATCTGTAAGTGTTCTCTAAGACAGCAACAGTTCTGCAGATCATGAACCTATTGTATGCTAAAATCACAATAACAGTCTGTCCAGTCTTTTTGTAATCTTGCTCTCAAGATATCTGCACAGAGACAACTTTTACTGAGATTCTGTTCTTTTAATTTTATATTTGAGCTTCATTCTTTGAAATTTTTTGATAGCAGAAACAGGCAAGTAACCTGAACACCCACCCTTTAGAGAAACAAGTACAACTAAAATTGTAACATAACTATGTTTGTCAAAAATACTGACAACAGCACCATACTGACAGGCCTCAAATTGGTATGAATTATGTAGGTCAATATCTTGTTCCCTTGTTCTGCATGTGCAATGCTCTATTGCACAAGCAGTGGGTTTTTCCCAGAACCTGCACATTAAGTATCCAATATCTCCTAGCACTGGGGGAAAAATGGAAGTGACATCCAACTTCTGCAACAGCAAGCTGGTGATTGCAAGAGCTCACCCATGGTGAACAAAACAATAGCCACAACTCTGTCCATTCAAAAGAACAGGACATGATCTGCTGCTTTAAGATGCAACCCACTACATAGCAGCTTGGGAATAACAGCTTAGTGCTGAAAGGGAATAAGGTATTCACATTGTGTAGCTACCTAGTAGCTAGTCTATATAAGAATATAAAGCCAGGTGCTAGTCTATATAAGAATACTACGCTCAAGAGGCTTTCAAGAGCTTCTCGATCTATCAAGGAAAGTTTATTTCCATTTTCAACAGGGTGAAGGATAAAGAGAAAAGTTGTTATGAAAGCCATTACAAAATTCTATTCCAATTTTTAAACTTCTATTCCAAATTGTAGTGACCCTAATATGATTTTCAAACTATGCAAGATGTTCTAGGAAAAGCTAACCCTTGCCACGAGTTCCCATGCCTGAGCTGGGACTTGAACCCAGGTCTCTCAAGTCCTAGTCCAAACACTGTGTTCACTACATCACATTGACTGTCTCTAGGGTTATTACTTTATACAAAAACATATGCAAGTCATTTATTGTGACTCAATGTCTTCACTAGGTTTCATTTTACAAAAGCCTTCTCAAGAAAAATCTTCGAAGGGTAAATGCTGTTTAATACTGCAAGTCAATGAAGCTACTGAGTATATAAAGCTATTTTAAAATGTAGTTCCCAGATGGTGGAATAAAAGAAAGTGGTCACTGCAGCAGGAGTGGTTTAGAAACTTCTGCACCATTAATCATCAGTAGCCAAATCAATACAAAAAGGGTCCTGTGAAGGCAAATTTGGTTATCATTAAGAATTTCCTTGTAGATGAAACCACTACTTCTTGTCCCATCTTTGGTTAGAGCAGTCACATGTCTTACTTTACACAGTACAGTTCCCTAGTATAAGGAATGTCAAGAGTTTCTTAAGAACTTGCATGTGGCAATTACCAAAAATATGTGTCTTAAAGGGCAAGCAAAACAAACATTGGCTCTTGGGTTGTTTTAATAAAAATAGTACAGTCTATAGTTTCTGAGCCCATTGGAAAAAATGATAATCACAAAGTAAGCACTTTCTTTCATAAAATATTCACAAATAAGATTCCAAAGCATATTTAGTGCTACTTTTGTTCTTGGTTGCATATATAGCAAGCTTAGGTTAGATTGTTTTAAAGGAAAACACTTACATTGTATCCATACACGTATCCATTTGGAAGCATCATGGGAGGATTATTTTCATTCATCACATCTCCTGAAATCTTGCAGACTAGTCGGGAGTTGGCACAGTGTGCCATTGGCAAAGGCTGAGCCAGCTTATTTAGGGATTTGCTACACACAGGGCAATCAGGGTTCTTTGAACTGCCATCCTCTTTATAACATTGTCTATTAAAAAGCAAGTTAAAGGACAACTGCTATAGAAGTTGAATATTTAAATCGATAAACATTGACTGAAGGATTCAGTTGCCACTGAAGACTTTCAGGCTAATATTAGGAAAGATCATGCAAGTGCTGAAGTTTTAGTTCAAGTCTGCATAAGAAAAGCAAAACTTTCCGGACCACCCTTAAGATTTTTAAAAAACAAACAAAAACTTTTGAGATTCAGCATGCAATAGACATACTTGGTCACGTTATTAAATACCAAGCAAAAATACATACCTGGAATTCAAATTTATTTCCCAATTTGCATCAAGACTGTTTATCACTCAGGCTATATTTTGTGAAACACAGACTTTGAAAACTACTGTAGCTTCTATTTCCCCTAAAATTGAACGTAAGTATTCTAAACAAAAATTTGCCAAGTACTACTATAACTTAGAAAACGTGTTTCCTACAAAAATTCCTAATTTTTAACTGCCAAAAATCTTTAGCAATCCATTACTATGCAATGAAGGATACGGTGTTTTTATAGCCGAAAGCCCAGCTTGGAGTGTTATAGTAAAAACAGAATTGTTCCCCAGCTGGTGCAACCTGTAGTTATCGTATCTAAACTGCTGAATTAGCATCCTCCATCGTGCAGGGTCCAGAAGATCCTGTTGAGAACACACAAAATGCAAAGCCACACTGAAACATACTGAAAGTCTCAAAATACTGAGAAAAAATAAATTATGTGTTGCACCATTTGGCCCTGAAATTAGCTCATTAGCCCCAAACCATAAACATTCCATTAGTATGAAAAAGTATTTTATGCTTATTTAGTCCCGCCTCAATAAAGCTCAATATAAAAGACATACAGTAAGACCCCCTTATCTGTGGAATCAGTATCTGCTAGTTCACTTATCCATGGTCTAAAAATATTAAAAATATTAAAAGAAATATGTATTTCCAAAGATAAAGTTACCAGAACTGGCTACTAGAGGAAGCCAGCAACCATGCTACAAACAGCACTTGCTATTAAAATATCAAAATAGCTTTTGCTATAATCTGCATTTTCCAGCACCTGGGGGGGAAGCTTGAAACTGATCCCCCATGCATACAGGGGATGTCCTATTGTATTCCTTTAAACACACATGCATACACAAATAATGAATAAATATTTACCTTGTAAGGAGAGATGTGAGTATCGGAAGGGAAGGCCAACATTCCCATCACTTGTCGCACCTCATCGAGCTGACTTCCTTCAGCCTGGCTAAAATGTTTCCTTGCATGTCTGAAATTCAGAATCCAAAATAATTTTGCTTGGGTCTGGAGCACCTCTTTCCTTTTCTTCTAATATTTAAATCTCTACACAGAAATGTACCACACCTTACATATAGAAGGCAGTTTTCAAGGCAAAATCTTGCAAGCAGAGGAAGCATCTCCATTTATATGTTACAATAAGTACTGCTAATTTCTTAGACAAACATGCCCCCCTCAAAACACTCGTACAGTATAAGCTAAGCCAAGTTTTTCCACATTTTGCATGGAATGCAGTGTTTAAGCAGTTCTAAGTCTGTATCAAATCTATTACTATCAATCGCCTAACTAAAGCTCTGAGTTTAGCAGTATGATGTATGTTTGTATATACCATCTCCTTCATTTCACCTCTTCAGTTTCTTGACTAGCATTAACTTCGATAAATGATGTCTGCATTAGCAGTAGCTGTTAACCAAGATCTGTAAATCAGTTCTCAAGCTTGGCTTAAAAGCTAACCAGAATTACAATTCACCATGGTTAGCAATGGTACAGGAATAATGCTGAACCAACCTAATAAATCACAAGATCCGAAGGAAGAATTTGTGTACTGTAGCTATAATTAGCCCATCACAGTCTCCTGATCTACTAATGATAACTATGTATAATATTAGCTTTATATATTTGCATTTGTCCTATAAATGTTGTAGGAGAATGTCTGGATTAAAGCTCTTGAATTTTTAAGTAAGTACAAATTCTCTTATATAAATTAAATAAAGCACTAGGAAAAAAATCTCAGCACTTGATAGCAAAATTAAATTACTATGATATTAAAATGATTCTTTGCAGAGTGATGCAGTTAGCACAAATAATATAATGGAATATTAAAATACAGTGTACCCTTGACTTACAGACGGCTTGACTTACAGACTTTTTGAGTTACAGACTTCTCTGGCCGCAAAATTTAGGTTTGACTTGCAGACTGAGATTTGACTTACAGACCAGAAAAAAACCAAAATGGAACAAAAACGGCCTGTTACGGGATTAACTGGTTTTCAATGCACTGTAGGTCAATGGAGACTTTTTGACTTGAGAACCGCCTTCCAATACAGATTAAGTTCTCAAGTCAAGACCCCACTGTAGTAAGCTTCTGTGTGTGTGTACCAAAACAAACAAACAAAAATTGGCAACATGAAGGACGAACAACTATATGAAGATAAATGTCTTTCAGATCTATAGATATAAATCAATCATCTTCCCAGACTAAAGGAAGGAGATAGGTCAGAGTCAATGCATGAAAACTCTTTGCAGTAATGTAAACGTTGACACCTCAGAGATCAAAGGAAGGCCAGATGGCGCCATGAAAAAACAACAGCACATGTATCAGGAATAGGATGATTGTGGTATGAAGAATAGTCTTGATGATTTCTTTATTTTGTTTGTTGATCTCTTGCAAATAAAGGCTTGGGAGGTAGCAATGTACAGGTGTCAGTGGAAGATGGATTCTCAATCTATTCAATATACCTACTGCACTACTTCAAGTACCCACTGTTCAGTAGTGATTCTGTTCTAGGCCCAAAGTGGTTGTGCTAATGTGGTAGCAAAGACAGTGGTTTGGGTATTTATATAGGAAGCATAGTGGAGATTAGCACTCCCAGTAAATTCAGAGCAACAATGGAGGTTAGATGTTGTTGGACACTCTCCAAAATTGATGGCAGTAAACTTGTATTTGTCAAGGTACCAATGTAGATATGGTGGTCAACATTCACAGTTTCTTTCTGAAGGAAATAATTTGGCTCTGAAACAGGGAAATTGTTTAGACTGATGTGTGGTCATTTAGAGAAGGCTTGTTGTGGCCTCATGTAAATAGGGCTCCTCCACTGGAATCTGCTGTAGATTTGGTACCCAACCATGCTGGTTAGGTTGGTGTCAAAAGAGATGTTGATGGAACTCTCATACAATTTGACACAGTAGTCAATCTGTACTCTGTATCTAACCTTTATCTGTTCTAGATAAACACAGACCATGGCCTTCAACTGGCATATATCAACTATCTCATCTCTTTATCAACATGTAAAAGAAACATTGGATGGAACCATGAATGGCAGCACTAAGTGACTGTTCCTGCAAGGGCTCTTATGGGGCACTGAACCACATGCTCTGCTGAGTTAATTTGGTGTCTTGCTGTCACATACAGCACTGATGGTACCTGTCTGTCATGGGTTTGGAGGGAAAGTTCCATCCTATGGGGAGTGGAAGGCGGGACATCAGGGGGGAGGAGCTGTACTGTATATATATTTGGAGCTGGTGTGGAGAGTTAGGAGTTGGAGTCTGTGTGTCAGACTGGGTACAACTGTTTGTCAGATAGTACATACCTGATAGGTTCAGGTTTCTATCTAGGTAGCCAGAACTGATAGGTTCAGGGTCTGTGCGTTACCTTAAAGTGTTCCGGGGGAACCAACCTGTTGTATGTGTATGATTGGGACTATGCCACGTTCCAGTATCCTATTTACCTGATCCTTTTGTTTACCCTGTTTGTTGTTTCAATAAACCTTGTTCTTTTGTTTGTTAAAATCCATTCCGGGTCTGTGTGACTCCTTATAGGGAATGGTTGGTGGCAGCATAACTATAGGGTGGGATACTCCAGTAGGTCTGGGGTTACCACATTGATTGGTGTCCAGCGTGTGGGATACGACTGGTCCAGTTGTCCAGTGGTCCAGCAAAGCCTTGGCAAGTGTGCCCAGAGCAAGGGGGGTTTAGTCAGGGAAAATCTGAGGGCGCGTAGGTAATCTTCTAGGCTTACCTCACGGGGAGGTAGGCTAGTGGAAGAACGTGCAAACTCAGATTGGGGGACTAGATTAGGGAGCTCTGAGGCAACCCGTTTTGGCGGGAAAGGGCTGAGGCAAAGCTGCATGAAGTAACAGTGATCTAGCCTTTCTGCTGAGAGGCCTAGCAGAGGGGGTGAATTCTGTCTGGCAACAGTTGCAAGTGGGTGCTGGAGGGACAGCAGCAGTCTATAGAAGGCTGTTTCTGAGGCAAAAGGAAAAAAGTCGTTGTTTTATTTTGAGGCGTGACTTTTGAAGGCAGCCTGTTCTGGGGGGATTATGCCCTTGACTCGAAGCCAAATGGCAGAAATGGGGGAAGTGAGAGAACCACAGGGAGACCAAGGTTCTGAGGAGGAATTTGGCTCAGTGCAGGATGAGAGCACGGGAGAACTGACCTCAGAACTCAGAAAAATGCTCCTAGCCCAACAGCATGAACTGAGGGTGAGGGAAATGGAGGAAAGGGAAAGGGAGAAACAAAGACAATTTGAAATGGAAAGGGAAGAGAAACAGAGACAGTTGGAGTTAGAAAAAATGGCGTTTGAGCTGAAGAAG